GCTCTATAAAACCTAACCACTCACAGAGAGAACTACTCTAATGCAGCTGTATGATGCCAATGACAGGAACCGTCAAAAGATCCACAAAGCTATCGATAAGTTAGGTTACTCTATCAACCTCGTCCTTAAGTTTTGCACACCAGTGTATAATGTAGTGGAAGATTTCCGGTTTGCTATCAAGACGTTGCGGTACCACCTGGACGCTCTCCCTCAGTAGAAAGCTCATATCATCCAGAATTATGAAGGAAGTAGTACTCTTTCACTAAGCATGCTCACAGAATCGCAAGTGAGTTGACAGGAAGAAAAGTTCCGCTGTTGAAGTTCTCTGGATCGAACTGCCTTCATACTTTTGAAACAGGGGGCATACAGTAACGGTCAAAAACGTTCGCCGAAAGTTTTCGTGCTTCTCTTTTTGCCGCAAAAAATTCAGTGGTGACCTCAAAAAATTTTTCTCCTGAATATCCTGATTCTTTAAGACTTGAGTGTATAAAAACACTAGAAATTATAGTATTTCAATATTAGGAGGATGTTGCTCAAGCGAGGAAAAAATACACTGAAAATCGTTTCGTCGAATACTTTTGACCGCTACTGTAGTTAAATTTTCTTATAAAAGTGTTTGTGGCCTATAATTCGTTCCGGAATGAAGTGGACTGTGGTTTCAGGGTTGTTGAATTCAAACAATAAATTGTAACCCAAAACCGCTATCCCAACTAAGAACAGCGGTATTCAGGGGTGCCTTTATACTACTTTTGAAACGCACTGCATGCAAAGTGTTGAGCCATATTGACAGCTGAAATGCGAAACGGCATCGAGCTTGAGGGATCAATTCCAATTCATTGTTCGATGCTGACCCCATGAGTTCAGGCACCGCTAGTTGCGCCATCGTGACGCAAGTCGACTTCGCATCACTTTTACACGTTGACGACATTGTGCAGCGCATGCGCATCACACCTTGAAGACCGTGTGGGACCGTGTGCACCGCATGCGCTGCACACACAAATTTCTAATTTTTTTCGCACATGCGCCACTTCTTTTCTAATTTTTTTGCACCATTCTATACCATAATATCCACACCATAATATGACTAGACAGGGCGAGGTTCATCGAATGGTTGATTATGCTTTCTTTAAGCGAAGGTTTTTGAGTTTGTTCATTCCTAGTTTTCTTTATATTCTGACAACCTTGCTCATGAAAAAGAGTATTGGAAGTAAGTACAGACCCACACATCTGACATGATATATGTTTGTAGTGGAGCAACCGTGCCAAAAATAATTTTGAGGTTTGCTACGACAAAAGCCTCTGAAATTTGCCTTTTGATTGCCAAAAAACGTCAATTCGATCAAAGTTTTACAATTGTTCCTTCTGATAGATCTGACACATCGAATATCATTCGGAGCATTTTGTTGTATTCGAGTTTTGCGTAGTTAGTGCTCGAAATTCACGATTTTATGTGGGGCGGCGGCGCCTGCAAAATCGCCGTGGTCCCACGCGGCGCAAAAACCCAGAACGCGCGTTGTCGTCAACGTGTTAATAAGCCCGCTTTCACGCGCTGACATGTGCAAGATATCGCAACTTCGTAATTTCGTTCAGAGAATGCCGCTGTTGAAAGAAAGGCTTAAGATCAGCATCCGGAAGCACATTCAGCTGTACATGTACAGTAAAAATGGCCACCTTGACCTAGAATCCTTTCCTTCTTGTAGCCATGACACCACAATCAAACATTACACTGAACAGCTTGAATGCACATTTGACATAGGACCTTTGAGTTCTTCTATAATTCAAAACCACTTTGAACACGTTGACGACATCGCGCGTTTTGTGCCTTTGCACCCCGTGGGACAATAGCGATTTTGCGAGCGCAGCCGCCGCAAGCCAAATCCATGGATTTGAAGTTGTAAATCCGCAATACTCACTGCAATAAAATGTTTTCGAAGATGTTCGACCCTTCTAGCTTACCAGGAGTTACATGGAAGTTTGGCCAAATGACGTGGCCATGAAAAGGGAAATTTAACTTAATTTTCCTTTAGTGGTACCAAAATTAGTTCGGACGTGGTGTTTCAGTAAAAACATATGATCCCATTCGAATAGGTTTGTATACACTTCTGTTATGCCTTTTTATCGACATGATTATGTTGTTGAAAAGAAAACGAGGAATGGACTGAACACACATATCGGTAAGGTCTGGAAGACGCCCGCGAAACTAAAGAATATTTGGCCTTTCTGTGAGCCATGTGGTTTTCGAATATGCTAATGTATGACCTATAGAATGAGTTCAGACACCTTAGGAATAAGTCGCACAAGCGCAAGAAAAGGGATGACTTGGATGAGATACGTTACCGCGTCACAATGTCCCATGAGGTGCGCAAAGTGAGGCGCGTTACCGCGTCACGCTATCGTCAACGTGTTGAGCATGGGTTCAGACTGCAGTCATTAATTTCAGTGAGCCTCGTATCTCAAAGCCACTGCTCCGGATTACCAAACGTGACGTAGTCGCTGGTCGCACGTCTGCATGATGGTGAGGTGGTCGATTAGCTGATACCTACATCCTTAAATGGCAGGAGTGGAAGCGCGTCGCGTCTGCAGTATTGGCAATATCTAAACTCACGGGGTGGGATCGACTTCTCAGGCTCAGTGCTTGTTCGCTTTTCTAGTCAAAATGGCCTAACTGCTTATTTTCTTGCTGCTTTGTCAATGCTTGACCACATTTGTTTGAACAAGTAGTTTGCGAGCGATGCCCGAAATTTGAGACGCGACAAACCTATGATTGATACGCTGATCGTGGCACTGGCGCCAAATGTTTTTACATATGAGAAGTGTAAGATCGAACTCTTGTAGGAAGGGATATCAAGCTAATCTCCTGAAATTGAAGAAGTCATTTGCGTTGTTTCCAGATGTTCTAGTAGTACGATCCATTCATCGTCCCGAAAACTGAAGAATCTCTTTTCAACTTTCTAGCAGTACGATCCGAACTAGAATAGTTAACTAGAAGAGACCTTTGACTGGAAGAAAGGCCTTTCCTCGAACCATGAAGCGTTCTAGAGGGCCAGCGATCTGTGAAGTTGTTCCGGAAAAGTCCCTAGTTTGACTCGTCCTTTAGTCGCTTTCCTCTACAATTCCAACGCTTATAGTGTTTCTCTCCTGTAAGGCTAGTTTTCTTAGTTTTACATTTTTTCTGTAGGCGAATTTCGTAACGGAATTGATCTTCATGAAAAAGAGAGATGGGTGGTGGAGAGGGCACAGGAGGGTCCAAGTAGACGATATCTGCCGTTTTCGCTTCGGAAAACGCTGTCAACAAAGCTAAATTGTGCAAGAAGGATCTAAGGCTTTCCAGACGTACCGTACCCCGGAGATGCGTGGTTTTCTTCTCGAAAGTTTTTCATATCAAGCCGCCGCACCTTATAATCTTACTAGTTTCGCCTTTCTCTATGGATGATTCTACTGCGCAGTATGAGAGCATATTACTGTTTTGCTTCTCCCTAGCGTTAGTCCCGCACATTCGCTGGATCAGCCGTCGCTACGTGGTTTTGTCCAAGGCCTCTTCTGAGTGGCATCGACTTCAGGGAGCTGTCTTGATTACCTCTCTCCACCTCTCAAACTCCTCGTGGTCGACTGCCTTGGGCTTCAACGTCCTTACTTTCCTTATCGAGAGGTCCTGTGGTCTTCTTGGCATGTGTCCATAAAATCGCACGGGCTGTCCCCGCATCTTCAGGTAGACAGGGGCAGACTGCATGACCACCCTGAAAATCTAATTTTGACGACCCTGTTCAGTCGCGTCCAGCTGCATGCCCATCTCGACATTCTCATTCGGGGAATCTCCTCTAATGGTGGTCCTTCTTCACTGGCCAGCACTCACTGCCGTCTAACATCGCAGGTCTTGTAACTGACCGGTACAATTTTCCTTTGAGCGTTCTTGAGCCCTTCGTCGCAGAGGATTCCAGTAGACTCCTTCCATTCCATCCATACCGCCTCATCGCTCCTAGCGCTCATCTCCCGGTCCACACTATCATTACCAACCACATCGCTCCCAAAACATGCGAATCTCCACTATTCTGACAGTTTCCCAGTGACCGTCCATGATTGACTCTGTGACCTCTTCAGCAGTCAGAAATTCGTTATTTTTTGACATTCAGCCGAAGACCATTTTTTACCAATACTTCCTGTCATTTCTGCACCACCTTGAAGTCCTCTGCTATCCGCTATCAGAGCGTGTCATCTAGTGTCAGGAGGAAGTTAGAGGGGTAAGAGTTGGCTCCCAGTGCACCCCAACGCGACGCCCTACTTCCTTTGTCAAGTCGCCCGGAGTGCGCTCTGCTGCCTTGTCCCCATCGTACGCGTCCTTCCCTCAGAGGGATCAGGTGTTCTGAGACGTTCCGTCCTCTAAGCGCTCTTCATAGTACTGCTCGCGCTAGACGGTCGGACGCCTTTTCCAGGTCGAAGGAGGCTAAGTGGCACGGTCGACGCTGTTCTCGTTTGATCCATCACTTGCTCAGTGACAGAGATTGCATAGGTTTGTTCCTGGGACACCGACACCGGCTCCCTTAGCTCTGAGTCAACTATCCGCTTGTACAAATTCATGGTATGCCCAACATACTTGACGCCCATCGCGACACCCTTCTGTCAGAAGATGCGGGCAACAGTGCTTTACGATAGGAATCTACCGTTCTAATTCAACTGAGATGTTCTGTTATTAGTATCATTGTGCTTTATTTATGCCAAGAAACCGAGTGGGTGAATAGATAAGGGACAACTATAAGGACTTGCCGTGAGGGTGAAAATGATTGCCTACTGTAAAGTCTTGAATCATGAGAATTTGCCTGGTATACAAACATCTATTGTGATTGCTTCGTTAGCTATCGCCCTAGAATATGAAGCTTTTTTGACTTGAAAAGAAGAACTTAGTTATTTCTAATCGAAAATAGATTCCTTTGCCAATCTCATCAATCATGATCCATGGTACTTTTTTTTACTGCACATTGCTCGTGTTGCATTTCACATTACAGATGGAAAGTCAACGAGAGGCCAACAGCGCTGGACAGCAGAACGCAGAAAACTTAAGTGGGGTGCGAACCGAGGGAAGTGCAAGCGTAATGGGTCGAAATCATCACGGGTGGGTATAGCATTATTTTCAAGAAATATTCATTTGCTTACTGTGCTATAATATTTGATATGCAAGCTTCATCATGCAGCATTCATAGGTGTTAGTGTACATGATCCATAAGACGATCTTGAGTAGCATTACCAACGCCCAAAAGGTCACTTTACAATGTTGCGGCATGAACAGCTGGCAGTCACAGCTTGCTAGTATTAGCGTTAGCGTTAGTAGCGTTAGATGTATAGTACTAGCGTTAGATGTAACAGAGAGAGAAATATTCATGATCTGGTCAATTAGTGTTGGCAGCTAGATTGCATTTAAAACAGAACTGCGTGTTTATGGCGTAAAAGTATTTATTTAGAATGCACTAGTAATGTTTGAGTGGTAACGGTAACGGTAATGCTTGAGAGCAGTGGTGACGTGAAGTCAGCATAACACTAAGATGTCGGTCAGACTCTGCGATAGCATCGCGCGATGCAGTCGCTCTGCCTAGAGCGCGAGCGACGGGAGATTAACCCCGTCGACGACCGAGGCACACGGCGCCGCTCGGGTAAACCTCCCGTCGCTCGCGCTCTAGGCAGAGCGACTGCATCGCGCTATGCAATCGCTCTAGGCAGAGCAACTGCATCGCGCGATGCAATCGCAGAGTCTGACCGACATCTTAGTGTTATGCTGGCTTAACGTTACGACCGCACTCAAGCATTACCGTTACCACTCAAACATTACTAGTGCATTCTGAAAAAAAATACTTCTACGCCATAACATCGCAGATCTATCTTGAATGCAATCTAGCTGCCAACACTAATTGACCAGATCATGAACATTTCTCCAGCTTTTATCTTTCATGTTGAGAATATTTCTGAAGGTATGAGCTGATTCCGCGTCAACTCAACGCTATGGAGAATTTGGTTGATTTGACGGTAACCAACATTTCCTTGGAATGCTCGCTTAGTTATTTCTCCCTCACATCCAGATTTTCGCCGGAAGACAATTCGGGGTCGCTTATGTGCGATGTAAAGACGATTTACGATAATTGAAGAAGCAGATGCTGTTAGGGGAATCTCTCTTCGTCAACCCTGTTTTCTAGACCTGGTCTCCTCAGATACATCAGATCCTTACAGAAGTGAAGACTTAAAGGAATCTTCCACGGAAAAAGCTCCGCCCTCATTAGCACAGAAAACGATACCTCGAAGGAATCTTCCACGGAAATAGTGATCATTTTGCCTTGTGTGTAGGATTAGTGTTCCGCTCTTTTTGCTATGCTCATGAGGCTAGGGGCCTAAGGGGTATCGTTTTTCTGTGGTAATGGAGGCGGAGCTTTTTTCCACGGAAGATCCCTTTAATCTCCTTCGCTTTAGAGGCTACAGCTTGGAGAAAATTCTGCGAAAATCCAGCAAAAGTTCCGTGTGCGACCATGGACGTTTTTTATCAAAAGGAGTCATAGAGAAAAACGAGTTTTTTTTTTCTTTTCCTTTTGACAAAAAGCATATTTCTTACCTTCCAGACATGGACTGTCACGAGCATATTGTAAAACACATGAAAATGCGTCCATAGAGACATTAAATTTTGAAGAAGTTTTGATTTCCGTTTCCGGCTGGATAAATTTGTATTATTTTCTCACGATACGGCGCTTATCTCGGTCGGATAGTAATCAGGGCTCCTCCTAGTATCATATCTTGTGGCATCCTTGGGAAATTTGTTCGTTATGAAGTCACCCCGACAAATTCCAGCGGAGCTAACACTTCGATCCTGCGTCTCTCTGCTAGGATTTTCCTTTTACGTGAGTCTGACAGCCGTTTTGCGTTTGCTGTAAGCTAAGGACCTTGAATAGGGAGTGATTTCAAAATTTGATTGTGTAAAAGCAAAATGCAGCGGAGAACCATGAGGTGGAACTATGACTTTGCGTCATAGGCAAAGCGGGTATTCGCAAAAAAATGAGGATGAAAAATTGTTGCTTCCTCGAATTGGGTTTCCGTGTTAATAATCAGTTTCGCGTTTATATGCGTCACAATTTGTCGGTAGAGCCTTTTAAAAAAATCCCCAGATGCAAGTTTTTGGGATGTACATAGTTGAAACTATAATTATGCGTCGCAGTGTATGTACACAGTGACTATAGATGGTGCTTGCGGTAGAAATAAAGTGGCGCAAATAAGATCTCTAAAATCCACAGGAGCTCAAAAACAGCTTAATAGAACCAGCCCAAACAGTTCGTCATTCAGAATTCTAAGGTGATGATCGCTGATCACCTAGAATGATCTATAGGAACAGAAGGACTCGCTCCAAAGGGGGCGACTCATTTCGAATAGTCCTCGTTCTGTGATTTGCTTGCTCAAAACGGGTTTCGTTAGATTATTCCTGCATGGCTCCGATGGAAGTTGAGCATCTGTAACGGGCTCAAGAAGTTAAACGTCTGTTTTATAATACGACAGCTCACTTGCCTCACTGCACACGTCAAATGACGTGCCACTGCTCAATCCCTACAGCGAAGGGCTATAAGGTCATCTCAAGGGCTTGGCATGTAGCTCGCTGGCACGGTGTTATCCACTTGTTAAGTCTTTCACCGGTGAAGAAGAAACGGTGAATATTTTCTTTGCAAACTTGAACACCAGTAACGGCGGCCATGACCGCTACTTGTGCGCTGGTCGCACATCTTCTAGGCCGCTCTGCTTCAGGCTCTTCTGCGTCACAGCTGGCCTTACAACTTCACAAGGGGGTATGCCTATCGAGGCAGACCCTCTTGTGAAGTTGGAAGGGGAAGGGGTCTGCCTTTGAGCCTTGTTTTCCACCTTGGGTACCAATCAGTCACGCTCTTCGTCCAGCGATCATCGGTGAGTCTAGCCACATGACTGGGCCATCTCGGCTTGGAGTTGTAGATAATATCGACATCGTCCTCCACCATCGCACTAGCGCGAATGGTGTCAATGGTATGCGGTTTCGAAGTGTTACACCGCACATGGCTTTATTCATGACTTGCTGTGTGACTGCGAGTATCCCCTCCTCAGACAGTGTGGTGCTCCACGTCTCCGCTACGGCATAGCGGGAAGAACATGCAGATTGAAGACATGAGCTTAGACTTTGCGGTCTACTTCTTTAGAACCTGATACGTCTCGGAGCTTATCAAAAGCGGTCCAGCAGGCTCTGCGGCGTCTGCTAATTTCGAGCGTGAGGTGGTTATACATGTTGACCGCTCTGCCGAGATAAACGTGAGAGGAGACTCGCTCGATTTCGTGGTCTTCTAGGAGGATCGGCAGGTATTGAATTTGTTCGTTGTGCATCCACTAAGTCTTACCGGAATGGATTTGAGCCCCATTTTGCCGGCTTCTCGCCTGATGAGCCTCAGTGATTACGCAATATCGGTGAGGTCCTCACCTATCAGAACGCGGTCATCTGCGAAGAGGAGATGCGTTAAGCGAACGCGGTCGACGTTAACCCCTCCGAGCAACGAGATTCGCCCCATGATGTTCTCGAGCGCAATAGCGAACAAGTTCGGGATGCAACTTCGCCTGTCTAACGCTGCGCCTGATTTGGACACAGAACGGTGTTTTGATGAGTCTGATATGATATAGCAGTCAAGATGCATTGCCGCGTGATTCTAATGTAGGGTTCGGTGATACCGCGCTCAGGCATGGCGTTGTACACACTCATGCTCCACTGTGTCGAAGGCATTTTTGAAGTCGATAAACGGATGACACAGTGGGGTGCAGTACTCGCGGCAACGTTCCGTCAGCTGCGATGCTACATGAATTGGTCAGTAGTGGAGAAACATGACGGAAACCCGCTCGTTCTACACTCATGTATTCATCGATGCAGCGGCGCATTTTGTTGAGGACAAGTCGGGAGTACACCTTCAACACTGGGACAGGAGACACATGCATTGAACGGAAGTTGTTAAGATCCTTATGCGGTTCTTTCTTGTCATGAACAGCGTAGTGGAGCCCCACCAGGCGCTCGAGATTTCGCGCAGTATGCGGTCAAACAACATGCCGAGAGGGTCCACTATCTCCTCAGCAAGCATACTATCCACTCTCATACGATGCCTCCCTCTCTCCACTCTGGTCCCGATGCCTTGCCTTTCTTGGTCTGGCCAAGAGCAACTAGCACTTCTGCTCTTAGGAGCGGTGAAATGCCTTCGTCTGATCCGTCGCATCGCTTCTCGGTAGGCCACACTTTTACCTGACTGCCAAAGAGGTTGCTGCAAAATTTGTAAATTAGCTTGGCCATATGTTACGGTGCCGCCTGGCCGGAAGATCGGGGCAGTTGGACTTCAGTCTGATCTTCCGATAGACCCTTTTGACGCTTGTTAGTTATTCGGCTACTTCGCATGCTCTGCGGGCGGCGTATTCCCTGTAATCATGCGCTCCACTTAAATATGTGAATTATTCACAATGAAGACAATGTTGCCAATGAGCAGCTACATTTATTTGCAAAGACTTGAGACTATGAAAAGACAAATTTTTTCAATTTGTAGAAAACTTTTGGAAACAGAATGGACAGAACTATAGTTAGGTGGATATTTAACACACAACTCAATTTTAGGCGTGGGCACGCCAACTCAACGCCGTCATTCATGAGGCATGGCCAAAATCATCAGCAGTCTACCCGATTGATGGCTGATCAGGATGGCTCAGTTGTGAGTTTGTTTCTGAGATGATGAACAAGATATATTTCCGGCAACATATAATTTACTATTTATCTACTACATAATCTTCACACATTAGCTCCAAATTCTAATTTCTTCAATTCAGAAACATAAAAAAAATTTCTGTCACAGTTACAAAAGACCGTTCCGTCGTTTCGCACATTGGCAACAAGTCCTTTATTGCTGTCAGTACTTCTTCTGTACGTCACAACAAGGAGAAAATCACCTAAAAGTCTGAAAGGGGCGGATCGTAACAAATTTACGAGTGCTTTTTGTTGAATATGTAGGTTAAAAAAAGCTTAAAGGATAAAGCTCCTGCCGATGATTCATCCCGTCATGGGATGCGGCACACATTCTACTTCCATTTATACATTCGTAGTGGCGTTTGAACACGATTTTACGATGACAATGGCTTGCGGGGGCCAGCCGGTGTAAAAGTCATTGTATTTCCTCCCAGACAAGTATGGTACCAACTCACCTCCGGAAGGATGGAAGAATTAGTTGGCACGGACGAAGCAGGACTCGATCCCCGGACCGCGCGCGTGCTGAGCGTGCCACTTGCCACTGCACCACTTCCCGATAGTGACTCTGAGGAGGGTAGCGGCTGGGATAGGGACAGAAACGAGGGTGTCAGGGCAGTAATGCAGTCTACCCAATGTCAACTTATGAGTGGACCAGCGGCTGTGATAGTCTTGGCATGAGCCAAAGAAGCAACAGGATCGGCCTATAAATAAAGATCTTAATGTTGAAGTCCACGGCAAAACACCACGCGAAGCCTTGAAGGGCAGGTGGAGTAACGTCAAGGAAGGATTCCGCTGAAGCCAGAAGACGCCACGGATGGTATGAACTCCACGGCTAATCAGGAAAGGTCATTTGGTCAGCCGGGCCATTTGAAATGAAATGTATGTACATGAGTATACGCGCCTTGGGACGCTAAGCTCAAAAAGCTTCTTATCTGCTAAACTCTTCGCTGACAGGAATTTTGAAGCTGAAAGGGGCAGTGGTCGAGGCCCATGGAGAATTGGTCATGCAACCGACTGACTGAAGAGCTCAATCTTCTTCTCTTTCAGTAGCGAAACTAGGAAGATTCCCGACATCGCTAGAACAACATGCTTGCATATAATGAGAACAAAAAATTCCTTCTTCGTTTTCTCCTTACCGTTAGTCCCGCGCGGTCGCAGGGTCCGCTGTTTTTGTCAGTCGTCGCAACTTTGCTCTGTCCAGGGCATCTTCCATCGTGGCCGTGACCTCACCTAGGTCTTTCTTGATTACGTATTTCCACCTTTTCTTCGGGGCTCCTCGCGGTCGTTTGCCTTGCACTTCGAAGTCCATCGCTGTTCTTATCGGATGGTCCTCTAGCCTCCTCAGCACATACCCATACCATAGCAACGCCGTTCTCGTACCCTAGGGGGGCAGTCTGCATGACTGCTCTGACGTCCTCGCTCCTAACCTTGTCCAGCCACGTCCAGCCGCAGGCTCATCTCAGCGTCCTCATTTCGGCAGAGTGAAGCTGCCTTTCCTGATTCTTGTTCAATGCCCAGCACGCTGCCGTAGAGCATCGCAGGCCTTTCCACTGTCCGGTACACCTTCCTTTTGAGCGCTCTGGAGCACCTTCGATCGCAGAGGATTCCAGTGGACTCCCTTCATTTCATCTAGGCAGCGTTGACCGGAGCCTTTACCGCCTGATCAACACTGCTGTCGGCTGCCAGATCGCTTCCAAGGTAACGGAAGTCCTCCACCCTTTCGATGGTCTCAATATGGCCTTTCACGATCGGCTCTGCAACCTCATCGGAGCTCAGGAACTTGGTAGTCTTGACATTCAGTCGTAGCCCCCTTCTGGCAAGACTTTCTGCCACTTCTGCACATTGGCTTGAAGTTCTTCACTACTATCCGCTATCAAACGACGTCGACAGGAGGCTGGTGTTCAGTGGTCCCCTCATGAGCCCCTTCACCAGGACATCTAGTGTTAGGAGGAAGAGGAACAGGGTCAGAGCTAACCCTTGGTACACCCAACCGTGATGTCCACTTCCTTCGTTAGGCCATGTGGGGTATGGCTGCCTTAGCCCCATCGTACATGTCCTTTACCAGAGAGATCGGTGTTCTGGCACATTCCTTTCCTTGAGTGATCTCCACACTACTGCTCGCGGAAGCCGGTCAAACGCCTTTTCCAGGTCGAGGATGGCTAGTTAGCAAGGCCTGCGCTTTTCGCGATACTTCTCCACCACTTGCCTAGCGATGAAGATAGCATCTGTTGTAGACCTTTCAGACGTGAACCTGAATAGTTCCTGGGAGATCAGGACCAGCTCCCGCAATTTCGAGTCGACCAGGCGTTCATACAACTTCATGGTATGCGCAGTCAACTTGATACCGCGGTAGTTGGAGCAGTCCATCGCGTCAACCTTCTGCTTGAAGATGAGGACGATAGTAGGTACTTCATCTCCGGGCATCCAGCATCCTTCCTTCGGCAGCCATCGTACCCAGGAAGCGCATGAGCCACCCCACCCCGTGCTCTCCAAGCGTCGTCCAAGCCTCTTTGGGTACTCCATCCGGTCCAACTGCCTTTCCTTCATTCATCCTCCCAAGTGCACGCCGAACCTCATCCTCTGTCCAGAGTATGATGGGACCAGCTGTGGCCTCTGCCCGTGAGTTGTTCTTGTGAGAAAACTCCTCGTTAAGAAGACCTCTGAAGTACTCTTCCCACCTCCTCCAGACTTCGGCTGGCTTCTTCAGGATGGTGCCGTTGCTGCTCTTCGCGCCCCTCACCATTCTGATATCTTGAGTAGCCTTATGCCGGGCTTTGGCCAGTCTTAAGACGAACTTTACCGCGTTCCTGCTTTCCAGCTTTTCATACAAGGCGTCCATCTCCGTGTTGCCTTTGCCTTGGCTACGGCGGCCTTAGTGAGCCTCTTGCAACTCATGTAAGTAGCGAGGTCCTCGGGGCTCCCAGTCTTCTGACAGCGCTTGTAAGCTTCTTTCTCCTGCTTCACGACTCGCTGAACCTCCTTGTTCCGGAACCAAGCTGCCTGGTCTCCTCTGAACCCAGCTCGCGTCTCTCCAGTACCACTCAGGCGCATCGTACGATGATCTCATTGCCGTGCCTCAAGTCTGCTGCACTGGTCCCTCGGGATCTGGAAGACCAGCTTCCATTATCCTTCGCTTGAGGTCAATCTTCTCTGCACGGTGCAACTTCCACGACCGGATTCTCCTCTCGGTTCCTACCCTCGTCTTCTTGGGCAGGTCTAGGGCTATGTCTGCCAGGAGAGGCCTGTGCTGAGGGGCCAGGTCTTTGCCAGGGAGTACTTTGAAGTCATTCACAGTTCTGAGGGATGATTTTTTTCACGAGCACATGGTCGATTTCCGTATTTCGCCCTCCACTGCTGTAGGTTACCTTTTGAGTCCCTTTTTGCGAAGAACGTGCTGCAGATTTTCAGATCGTGGGCCGTAGCCAGGTCTAGAACCCTCTCTCCCTCGGCGTTCCTCGCTCCTATTTCCTACCTCCGTGCACCCTTTCCATACCTCTTTTGTCACTGCCTACGTGACCATTCAGATCACCTGCTATGGTGAGGTAGTCACCTTCTGGAATCGTTCTGATGGTATCGTCAAGACTGAGATAGAACTCGTCCTTGTCACTTCCGAGGTATCCGGCTTGCGTGCGTATACGGAGAGTATGGTCCTGTATCCCTCCTTCGTGTTTATCCTCATGGCCATGATCCGATCGCTGATCCTGTTTACTGCAGAGACATGGTTCTCGAGCGACTCCGCTACCGCTATGGCCACACCGTTCCGCTTGGTGTCTTCACCATTGTATTAGAGTTTGAAACCTTCTCGATTACCCTGGCCCTAGTACGTTTCCTTTTGAAGGCGTAGGACTCGGATATTCCTGCGCGGCATCAGCTCAGCAACATCTCGCGAATTCCCAGTTAGTGATCCTATGTTTAGAGTTCCTATTCGAACTAGCTTCTTTGGCCGAGGCCGGTTCCTCTTCGGTAGCCCTCGCATACTGACCACAGAACTCGGGCGGGGGTTCTGCGCGGTGACGTCCTAGCTTTATCACTGATTCCTTTCTCAACTTTAGACATTTTTGATGTGGCTGTGGCCTTCATCAGCCGGCCTGTCAACCTGGGCCTGACGCTGGTACTGGAACCATTTTTGCAGTTTCTGCACGGCATGGTTTTAGCCGCGGCAGGAATTGAACTCGCGGTTTACAGAGGTGCAGACATGAGTCTAACCACTCGGCTATCCCTGCCTTATTCAAAGAACTTAAGGGCATTTAATACCGAATTTGGACATCATCGCTTCTGACTACTTTAAACGCCTGTTGCGCAGCCACCAGGCATTTTCGCAGTGATCAAGTGCGGTATTCATAATCAGTGAGTAGGAGTTCCCCTTTGGGCAAACTTCTAGCCTAATCTGAAATTTTGACCTAACCGCAAAAATTCGGGCACTCTTTTACTCACTTCCCCATCAATCCATTACAAAAGACTGGTTTTAGGATGGAATAAACCTTCCAAACAGTTTCCTAGAGTGGAACTGTGATACGTATAAAAGCAGTTCTAAATATCAACACAAAGATCCAATTTGATAAAGCAACAATTTTTTATTTTCATGTTTTTTGAAAGCACTCCCTCTGCCTATGACGCAAAATAATAGTTCCACCACATGTTTCTCCGCTGCATTTTATTTCTACCCAACCAAATTTTGAAATTATCATCCCTTTCGGTTGCCTAGATTATTGCAGAAGTCAGAGTTCTGCAGAGGAAATCCTAACAAAAGAGGTGCGGGAATCGTCGAAGAGTCACCACACGCTGGAATTTGGCCGGGGTCAGCTCATAACGAGCAATCGTAAAGGATCCTGTAGTATGCGATGTTGCAAGTAACCCGGATCACTATCTGACTGAGATAAGCGCCGATCAAAGGAAAATAATACAATACATGAAGCCGGGTACGGCAATCGAAACTTTGGAAGGTAATATTTCAATGGACGAAGTTCAACTGTTTTTCAAAATGCGTCTGATTATCCGTGTCTGGAAAACAACTGATACCTTTCTATGAGAATAAAACCAAGAGAAATATGAGCTAGTTCTCTCAGAAAGTTTCGCCGAGTCGAATGAAGTGGTGACACTTTTTTATGTGTTTCGAAGGCTTTGGCCATACTCCCGATCTTTTTCTTTTCCACACATATTCGCCACAAAAAAAAACAATATCAGAAGGAAAAACGTTAAGAGAAAGAATGACGCATATCAAAAACATACAAATGAATGAGTGTCACCAGTTCCCCCGATTTGGCGAAACTTTCTGATAAAAATGGCTCATTTTTTTTCTAGGATTTGTTCTCATGGAAGGTGTACTTGCTGTTTGCCAGACATGGATTATCAGAGGCCTTTCAGAAAACACGTTCAACTGCGTCCATTAAGACATTACCTTTCAAAGAATTTTTGATTTCCGTACCCGGCCTGATGAAGTTGTAATATTTTCCTTTGATCGGCACTTATCTCGGTCAGATAGTAACCAGGGTTCCTTGCAACATCATATGTTTACTATAGGATACTCGGCGAAATTGCTCGTTATGAGCTGACCCCGACCAAGCTCCAGCGTAAAGTGACACTTGACAATTCCTGCACCTCTTTTGCTCGGATTTTTCCTTTACTGAACTCTGGCAGCGAGTTTGCTTCTGCAATAATTTTGCTAACCACCCAAAGGGAGAGTGTGTGTTCTTAGTTTGAAACTAAGTACGCTAGCCTGATTACCGAACCACTGTAGCGCACAGCAGGTCACCTCGCACCTTCCCAGAGTTGCCTGTGAGATAACCCCAGTTAACTGCTTGCGCTGAATACTGACGTTTCTGGATAGCTCCAAAACAAGCAACACGAAGCGACGCACATTTTTTCCAGGTTAAACATCAGATTCCGCACATAACAACGGAACCTCCACCTGAAGAAAACAAAGCGAAAGTTCCGCGACTACTCAAAGAATCTGTCGAATCGTGAGAAGAGCGATTCCGTTTTGCAAATTTTGTTAAGTAAAGTATGTATGCGAATATAGCTGAATATCGAAATTTACTGTATTGCGTAATAAGCAGAATTGTGGTGACGGTGAGTCGTATTAAACCGTTAATTAGTACGCAATACTTCACGAAGTATTAATTCTCGATGTAAATCATTTACGGGTAATTGTGGCATTGTATCCATTCGTGAATTCCAATGTTATACTTTCTTTCCTTGATCACGTTGTGTTTTCTGTGTAACACGACATGAATTACAATGTAAGGGTATCTCGAACCTGAGAACTCAAGCTAATGCCATGGTGCCTTATCAATGAATATTTTTTATTCTGCCGTGTGTTCACATTAGGCTCCTTCAATGTAGAATTTATTTGAACCGTTGCAGACCGCCAATCGCGAATGTGTCCACAGATTTCTGCAATCGGCTTCATCAGTAGTCCCTAGTCTACCACTAATTGTATCAGTACTAATAATATACTCTCCCTTTCAAAATATGAGAAGAGCGTCGGGTGCAGACCACACACCACAAGTGACGACGGCCCAAACAAAATGTAAATGTTTTCTGCTGATGAAATGATTAGCCTTTCGCAGTTGTATTCTATCAGTCATCACTATTTACAGCGATCATTTACCAAAAAACGGCTATCACTATGAACCACTACTAACCAGATTTACTTGAAAGCTGTCGTCACTTGTGGTGTATGCCCTACACCCGAGACTCCTTTCGTATTTCGAAAGGGAGGCTATGGTATTTTCTTTGTCTAGAATAGTAGGCAGCACTGTGGCTCTGAAAACGCTGAACGAATCTAATTGAACGGTGCTCCCCGTGGCAGCGTGGTGCGCACCGTGAATCATGCGGGTCGCAACGAGTTGAATTTCTACGTCTCTATCGGTGTTGCCTTTAGCCGGTTAGGTATGGTTATGCAAGTGTTTTTCCCAGTGATATAAAAGACATGGTCGTAAGCGCAGGGGCTAAAGGTGATCGCTGGCAAGACTCCTCATTAGCAGAGGTATGTGAGGGAGGATATCATTATAAACAACAAAAGTAAGCCAAATGCCGCAGAAGGAGAGAGAGAGAAAAAAGCTCACCAGCTGCGCGGACACGAGCGCGTTCTGGTTAAAGGGATCCTTCGCGGAAAATTCTTGCATTCTTTCTCAACATAAATGTATCACTCGTGATCACTGGAAACAGCACACAGAGTTCCACGCATGAAGATTCGGTTTCCGAAAGCAAACTTACAAAAACTACTCTCTATGGACAATGGAATGTGAAAGGAGCGGAGCCAAAGGCGGTGCATGGAAGGAAGTCCGCCTTGGGGCAGTTACGTATCAGGCGACGCATGAGAGAATCTGGTTCTAGCGTGCGATTTCGGAGAGTAGAGACAAATCGATCGGCAGAATAGGATAGAGTAGCAGTGTGAGATGTGAATGCAATAAGTCAAAAGGCCATTAAAAGTTTCCAGTGAAGCCATTCCAAGAATCAAATGGAAGCAACCCCGTCACCAGAATTTGTGACAAATGTGCGGCGGCACTTTGAACGCGTAGGGATTTGAAACCCTACGCGTTCAAAGTTTACGGGTTTTTGAATTTTCTACTAAATTTAATTTTTCTTTTCTTTTCATTCTTATCGTGGGTCATGAGTCTCAAGATATGTAGTATGGCTTTATGGCTGAAATAGAGTCATTATTTTTCCGTGAAGGATTAGAGGTAATATCTCTAATTTTGTAGGATGTTGTTAAAAGAAAACAGCTTCGGAATGCGGAAGGCTTGCGCTTTCTAAGGGCATGTTTAGCTTTCTTCTACGTCCTTTAGTTGAGGAGATATTCGCGTCGAGCATCTATCGTGGATGATTCTGGGCTGCTCAAAAAGCCGCTACTTCTTCACCATTGCAAGTGTAATTCGTTGGCAACGCTCGGAATGTGTCTGGAATACATTCTTCCAACACAAGTAATAACAAAAGGGGCAATCGTCACCACCCGATTTAGGCCAGGCACTCGAAGTTGCGGAATCGAATGGAAGGATTTATATGATCATAACCAGTTGAAAAAAGCTGCATTGTAGCAAACACATTTCACAACCCCTATAACCTAAAAACAACTTCAGGGCCCAGGGCCTTCCCTTCACGGTGTCGTTTTTGCGACAGCGTCCCTAACAACAGTGCCATTTTCAGCGAGGTATTGAGAGGGAGGGAGCGTGTGGTAGTAGGAAATGCCTTCTGCGTGTGCACATGTGACCCTGTTCCTTGCAAAGATGCACATTCATTTTGTATACTTTCAAATACTTCCTTCTTGGAGGTAGAGAGATGGAGCAATTGGACCTGCAGGATATTTCAAATCATTTTTTCTCATATTTCTGCTGCGCTCCATCCTATCTGCACCACGATGCCACTGACGTACTGACCCCTACGAGTACGACCCCCTTGACCCACCTTGACAAATACGACCCCCTCTCGTGGATTTCCTGGACCGATATTCACCCTGATTCGTGGACTGAAAAAGGTTTGCTTGAAATATATACTGCGTTTCATAAATATAGGTCCACCCTAATTTTTTGCTATTCCAACGTTGCTGTGCATTTTTGGAAAATGCCGCTATTACCAATAGTTTCCCCATAACGAAAAACCTTGATACTTGATTTCTGGAGAAATCTGGATTCAGAATTATTGAAATATCTTCTTTAGAACGTATTTTCACCGTTTCGCAAATATGACTACACATCACTTGTCGAGAGATTCTACTATAACGAAAAAGCGTCACGAATTCTCAATAATAGGGTGACCCCCAATAACCATTAGGAACACAATAATACGTTTTGAAATGCTGGTAGCCAAATTAGCTATTACAGTAGGATCGAAATTCGTCTGGGCGCCGATGATCGACCTTTTCAGCTTTTCGGCTATTCCATTTTGCTTTACTTTGCTGTGGAACTTTATAACAACTAAGGCCCAATGATTCTCTATTGGAATCTAATTCAGATAGCGTGGTGGCCACCAGATAACTGCAGCATTTTTTCCTGCAATTCCATCTGGGCGGCGGAGCGGACGCATTGGCAGCCGCGTTAACGTGTGTGAAAAATCAAGGATAGGAGGGGATCCTCTTGTTGAAAAAATTGTAAACTCCGATGTCGAACACGACCTCTACGATACTGTGTGAATCTTTGGTGAAGCTCAAGAACAAAAGGCGAGCTCTGAGTACTCAAGTCGGTTAGAAGTGGCTTCAAACCATAAGGATTCACCGCCGGAAATGTGATTTACATTGAAACCAATCTGCGATTTCTCTCGCGCGAATCATCCTGTACTCTCTTTTTTTGCCATACCACCTAGAATTTAAATCAAAAGAATAACCACGTCGGATCTCAGACCACCTGTAGAAACGAAAGCAAGGTGGGTAGAGTCCAAGGATCGCGAAGGGTCTTAACAGCCACACCATCGCTCATTAAGTTGAGCCTCAGGGAGAAATGGAGACTTGCGATCTTGTAGCGCTCAAATAATCTTGGACGCTCTTCACAATCCGTTTGAAGAATATTATTGCTCTGGCTGGTACTACCACACTAGGTGGTTTTGCTCACGGAAGGCCGCATTGGGTCAGCCGGACTTTGTTCGGCACCCCTTGACAATTCGAGGAGAAGACGGCCAATTCTAAATTTTGAAACGGAAGAGGGAAACGCAGTCTTTATTTACACTAAGCGAGATTTCTCTCCGCATTTGACACAGGATTTTGCACATAGTCGCTTGTGCAGTATGAGCCGGCCGACATGGGAGGAAATTGGCTCCTCAGCTATCCCACTTCAGTAAGTTCGTCTAGTTTTGAGCTTGGTACTGGGAAGAGAGGCGAAAAACACGAGGTATGGTAAACTCGATGTCGACTGAGCCCACATATTTCCCCGCTTCCCTGATTCCCTTCACGGATCGTGAGAAATGGAAACTTTTTATGAGTGGCCGATATTCATGAAACGAGTGAAAATCCGCGTTCTTACAAAAAAGTTAATATGGGTTACTTTAGGAGGGAATTTTGTCAGAAAAAACTATGGAAGGGTTTTCCTGTCATGAGAATATAACGGTGTAGCAGCATTTCAAAAATGCACAGCAACTTTGGGGTAGCCACAAATCTCTAGGGTGGACCGTTAATAGGAATGAGGGTATCCCTACTCTATATAATATGCGCTATGTCCTGTCTGTCGATCTGTCAGCAGAAGTGTCGCGTGTATCAAGACGAACAACAACCTATAGGGATACCAAGGTCAAGTTGGAAGGGGTATACCCAGTATCTAGAAGTAAAAAATAACACAGTAGCAGCAAGCGGGAGGCGCGCCCACAGTGGTGGCGTGGGCGTGTCATGCGGTTGAGTTCCAAATAACAGTCAGAAAACAGCTCGAGGACTGGAACAAAAAGTGTTATAAATGTTGATCGGGTAAGCGAGATTGCATGGGGGAGCCCACCCTCGGTGGGAGGGCGTCTCTGGAAAAGCGAGTGTCATAAAAAATATCAAAAACTGGTTAGCGCACGCGACACGCTACAAGAGCAGAAAGAAATTAGTGACAGGGGCAGCGATGTCTAAGGTATTTCCAGCACACATTGATGGTGAACGGAGCGGTCCGCGCCCACAATGGGGCGGAGCGTGTCCTGGGAAGTAGACGGACCGTTTTCACACAGAGATCATAAATCGGCGGGCTGCACGACGACTTGGCAACCTGAACATCAGTGGGATACAGGTTGGAGAAATGAGGAGAGTGCGGATGGTTGTCAAGGCTGGGCGTAGCCTTACACCAAATGTGCGGAGTTGCAAACAGCTGCATAACTGGGCATGCAGTCGCGGGTGGGGAATAAGTGTATAAGTGTATCAGAAGAGGCAAGGGGGGTCAAGTGTGTGGGCAGGTGAGAGGCATGCATTAAGGGGCAGAGTTTGCACGGCACTTCAATAACTCGTGATCAATGGGAAGTTACGGAGATTGGGAAACTGAGTGAATGAGGTTTGGGGAGAGCATGATAGCTCGCTCTCGCAGGTATCGGGTGGAGCCGACGCGCCACTGTAACGAAGTGGGCGCGGCGCCTCTTCACAACGATACGTCGCTCGTTCTTTCGTCCTACAAAGATCTCTCGATTCACATCGGCTCCGAAGATGAACTTAGAGCTCGCAAACACTCACGCCGCGGTGAAAGGTAGCGCCGAGCCCTAGAGTTTTGACTGTGAACGCTGGGAGTCGCGACACCGGATTGGGCGCGGAGCTTGCACCGCTCTTCATAACTCTGGTTCCTAGAAGTTCCGGCGACCGGGAAAATTGAATAAGTAGGGAGGTATGGACCGCTAGCGGAATTGAAGTGCCCAATAGATTGCGCGCCTAGCATGCAATCGTGCGGCGGGCTTGCTGGGAGAAATTCCGTGACACCATAACGCCATTTCACAGACCCTCATAATTCGGCTCAGAATTGGGACTTAAACCAAAAAAAAACGCCAGAGGTGAAAGTAGGAGTAGAGTGAATGGTGAACGCTGGGCGTGGCCACCCGGATGTGGGCGGAGTTTAGCGGCGTAAGATAAATGGTAGCAGCAGAAAGCTAAACTCAAGTAAAAAGAATGTGGGCCCGATCCTTTACGACTGACCAGCCCCGTTGATGAGACGCGGAATGGCGTGCGCAGCCAAACTGGTATGATAATATGTACGATAAAGACACCGTGTACAGAACAATTAATAGGAGTTACTTCACACATGACCAGCAGTTGATGAGGATTCTACACGTTCAAGAGTATAACGATGAAAACTGTGAAAAAAATGACTGATCCGGTGACGGAACTCGTATCTGCTGGAGATGGCGTTGTTTTCCTAGTCGAATCACTGCACTCGAACTTCGCATCCGCTGTGAACTTCTTTCCTTCCACGTCAAACATGCTGAGGATTTGAGAAAGACGCCAATCCTCTTCTGAAATTCGCTGTATTACTTCGACGTCAGTAAATATGTTGTTTCGAATTCAGAATGACTTATAACTAACCAAGGATGGTCACTCTGTATACACTGCAGTACTTTTTGTAGGCCTCTCGAGTGTAGTCGAATTGTACCTCAAATATGAGCATAGAGATCTTCGTTGTGCAGATGCAGTAGATGAATCCCCACAAGGTGCGAGAATATATTAGGTTGGAACGACTGAAATGTCGCTTACGTATGTGCCTTTGTTTCTCAGCTTAAACACAATCTCTTAGGATGGCAGACCATTCGTTCGAGAGAGGACTCAGCGCGCGCGAAATATTAGGCGCCATTGAGCGGATGTTCTTCGAGATAAAACGTTTGCTCGAGGATGACTAATCAGAAATCATTGTCAGAGGGTATATATTCAAGCCACGAAAAACGGCCAACGAATCCCACTCATTGTGTGCAAAACTTTGAGCAGTAACACGTAACTTCTGATGCACTTTCAGCTAGGGTTCCAGCTCTTCCAAGACTGAGGTAAAGGACCGGCGATCGTGGATTTCACCTCTAGCTCTAGATGATGGAGAAATAGAGAAAGCTAACGAATTAAGTCCTCGACAAACCGCACAAAACTTGCATTGAGATTCAGCTGCGTCAACAGAAAAATTTACGAGCGACTGTTAAGGCCTTTCAGGATAGAAAATGGGTTTGGCCTATTCTGAGCGACGCGAGCAAGCAGTAATGGTTGCCAACACTGGAACTTCGCTCCATAACTTCAAGAGGAAAAAGGTTCTTGAGTTTGTGTTGACCGCATTTTACAAAGGTGCTTCCCAATAACAACGCCAGAAAACGACCGTGGTTGGCGGCTGATGAGCAGCTGAGGGCCTCCCTGAAACCGGGTATCCACGGAAACAAAGTCATGTTTTTATATGACGATATACACTGCAACGCATAATTATAGTTCCGCCTACAACTATGCTCTATCCGAGCCAAAAACTATGCCTGTAGGAAAAAGTCCTAAGGGACAAAATTCTAGTAATGTAATAGTGCCTAGGGAATCGATTTATTTGTATAATTTCTCATCTGAACACGTAGACTTGTGACTGTTTGAATTTCCCAACTATTCAGAACTCGAACAGAACCCAAGTTTGTGAGTCCTTGATGCACAAAACTTTTGAGACCGATACCTGGAACAGTTGAAGGTCTAGTTTTTCGGCTATTGTCAACTGCAATTTCGCAAGTGAAGTATTAGACGGAGCTATCCAATAGAAGGTGACCTGAAATCAATAATTACTAATTTAAAGCTAAAGCATGGAACTGTCAGTTTTCAGATTTTGCTAGGGTCGTCTGCGAAGCGATATACCACAGGCGTGACCATACAAGAGCTCCACGTTTTCAACTCGCTGACGACAGCGTGACGCGGTAAAGCGTCCCTCTTTGCACAATTTGTGGGACATTGTGACGCGGTAACGCGTCTCACCTAAGTCATTCCTTTCTCTAGCGCTTGCGCAACTAATTCCTAAGTTCTTCTTGCTAATTTTACAAATCATGCATTAAAATGACCATAACTTTGGTCCATGAAATGCTTAAGTATGCTTTAGATTAGCAAAAGTTTTCTCAACCAGGCATAATTTTCATTTTAGTCTTATTCTTCCACTTTATGCAAGAAAGAGGAATGTAACGCGAAATATATAAGCAAAATTTTGCATTTGGCAAAATTTCAGAGACAGTTAGAGGTTAGTGGAACAAACGGTTTGTCTTGTGCCTTCTTTATACACTCTTTTTCTCTCAAATAAGAATACTGCTCAATGGTTTTGCCATTTAAGAGAACGAAATTTATGCAGTTCCTGAATGCGTCTTCGGTTTAGCAGAAGAAATCCCTGAAAAGTTATGGTCGTTGAGAGTATGGAATGAGAAAAAATTCTTCTGCATAACATGGCCAATTTTCCGCAACGGGCAGTGCTCCGAAACGGCCAATTCAAAGAACAGGTTCAGTAACTTTGTGAAAGAGCGAATCCTTTAGTTTACAGAACTCTAATCAGGTTTGTAAAAGCTCCCTTTTGGAGCAAGGTATGGCTCTATAAAGTGCAGAACCTTGCATAGACAGTCAGTTTTCGCGCTTGTAGAACATTGCATCGACCGACAACTTTCGCGCTATTTTTGGGAGACTAGAGGGTAGGTGTCATCATTGTCAATCACAACTCCCAAGAGTTTTCAGGCTGTACAAAGTCAAAGAACTCGATATCATTGCTTCGTTGGGACATCGTCTTGAAATTAAATTTTGGCCAGGCCATGCTACCCGCGAATGAGGCTTTATCCAACTCGAAACTCCTTTGCTACTAGGTTCTTTTCTCTCCTATGGCAATTACTTATGTGTACTATACATACAATTCAATGAGCCAATTTCACTTGATTCTTTTATTTCTTTATTAACTTCAGCATTGCCTGGCTCTCGGAAGAACGAAGAACTTTGTTCGATCAATGCGTTTTGCAATGTTTCGTGTGCAAAAAATATGTCTACACCTTACGTTCCCGAATAATGACAAGAACCTTCCTGGATGATTCCCCCGTCACCTCCACCAGTTGAGCACAACATATACAAAATCGATGCTGGCTCCGCGCTTTTTCCCAGATAGTAGTGAGCCCATGTGCAGCTCTTTTACGGTCCCATTGCTTTTCCTACGTGTTATTTCTCCAGGGAGTACACCTTGAGCGCTTTGAAATGCAAATAAACAAACAAATAAATATTCGTGAGTACGGATCATACGTTTGGTCCTGGAGAATGTCTTAGGACATAGTTCAGGGAAAGATTAAGGATGATTACCTCTGAATATTCTAGAAGGGGTGCACACTCCGAAATGTCCTCGCTTTCCAGTCGTAGTCTAAGAGAGCTTTCCAAAACTAAAACGCGATAAGCATTGAGCAATGCAGGGTGGAAGCATCTATGTATGTTAACGAGCTGAAAACTTACTAGAGTGTGGTCCTGATAAAGGAAGATTGTTCACTACAATGTATTGTCTACTATTCATTATCAAGTTTGCCGAGTTTCTCGACGCGTCTCCTAATTGACAGAATTCGGTCGCTTGAAGCAAGCACAAACTTTCCTGTAAACGTTAGTTTGGATTTTGAGTTGCTATTCCAGAAAGAAATCATGAGCTCCTACTTCCGTCGAAGAAGGATTGAATAAAGGAGCATCGGAGCAGCTGTTGTTCAACTGCTCCACAAACTGCCACTGTAGTTCTGCCTGAACTTGTTTGATTTTGACATTCAAATACATTCACGAAATAAATGCAAGAAGGAATAATAGTTCAATGCGAAATTAGAAGGACCTCGCTACCAGAACTTCTGAGGCTTCTGTTTGCTGGAGTTATTGAGTAGTAGATCTCTGTTGGAATACCTGTGGCCCAGTTTGATGATCCGTATTGTGTCTAAAAGGTACGTTAAGGACTCTATCATGGGATTACAAAGTGCAACTGATGATGAAAATTATTCTTGCTTCTCTTCTCATTCAGCACAACGGCTACGGTGGAAAAGGCAAGAAAGATGTGAAGTAGGTCTACGGCGAAGTGAAGCAGTATACAGTAGCGATCAAAACTTTGGAAATTCATCTATTTTTGCCTGTATAGCCAGCAAAATTGCAATTATCCAAAATTCAAAACTACACATAAAATCAAGTGTAGAATTCACTGTGCTACATAGTACCTTGAAATCAAAAATCATAATTGTATAAAATACGAGTTATTTTCAGAGATTGGTGCGTCAGAAGTTTGAAAACTCCACAATTCTAAGCGAATTCGATGCGATAGCTAACGAATTCGTACGAAGAGTTGGTAACTTATTTATTACTGTATGCTTTTTTGATGGAGACCTTTTATGCTGAAACAATCGGTTAGAATATTTTTTGATTTCTCAAGTGGAAGACTGCACTTTGTTAACAAAATCAAAATTCGTCCATGGAATTCTCAAACAGAAGCAGGGTTTTACGACATGCAAGATTTACCCTGAGGTGAGCAGCTCAGTTAGGAATGACATCTCGACTCGGTCACTTCATAACTATTTTTTCCTGAGTTTAGGTGGGCGGCAACATTGAGGTATCTTGTCCTCATAGAAAGCCCTTATCAGGAAGTTCTGGCTATTGAAGAAAGCATGTAGTCTCCAGACCCTCCCTGTACTTTTCCCACCCTACACTTTGGCATGCTAAGAACTAAGAAATCGCCGAATTGTCAGTCACATCCTCATCTATGAAAACACTTCCACTCTTCCTGACTGTTGGAAATACCTAAAATTCGAATTTCTGTTGACAACATTCTACATGATTTAAAATTTCATTCAAAGGAAGCCAAAACCCTACTCGTCGCTGAGGACAATTTTTTACTTATACCGTTGCTCCAGGCCAGCCATTAATCTGCGACATTTTCAAGTTTTTAGCAAATGCCAGATTCCCTGTGATACTCTCGTTTGTGAGGGATAATTCTTTGTATGCAATCTTCATAATAGTGCTCCAATTGAGGTGGACTACTGAGGAACGAGGTTTTCTTGAATTCCGTACTGTAGAGCTCAGAAGAACCTTTTCCTGTGAAGAAGTTCATTTTCACAGGGATTCGTTTAAAAATGACATATTGCATGGTAGTCAGACTGAAAATCATCAAAAACATGCAACCAAGAAATAGCAGCACTTGTAATGATAAGGGAAACAAAAGGTTTCCAAACTTGTGACCCGCAGTTTCTTTGAAAAAAATATTTAGTATTTCCAAGTACGACTGAAGGTTTTGAGTTTTTTTTTCTACACATCGTGTTCTACACTTGATTTTGTACAGAATATCTCAATTCAAGACAATTTTCTTTTCTATTGGGCGCTCTGGATCAAAAATAAAGAAGTTCCCATGCTTTTGACGATTACTGCACATAGAACAAACGGAGGGTTCGAATTGTCCATCAAAGCGCTTGAAATTTGGATCCCAATATGATAACTAGAGTGTTTGCAAGCCGAAACGAATTTCCAGGGTGTTTATGGATAATGGAGGACCATTGTTGAGAAGTTGTATTGTTATTTTTGTTGTCACACTTATGACACAGTAAAAATTCGTTCCGAGGAATATAGTTGTGTGAGTGTGATGAGAATTTCATCATAACAACAATGCGACGGTTTCCGTAATGAGGATTTTATTGGTGACCACCACGAATGCAGTGTGCCTATAATCATGAAAAGCAGTGTATAGGAAAGCGTTCCAGGTGCGATGGGCCCTACGCATGGGTCTATTCTCACTTAAGGTTCATTTAAGTATCACGTGTTTGAGCTTGTAAACTAAGCAGAGCCGAAAAAGGAACAAGGCAAGTAGAGATGAGGAATCATGTGAAAGAGCGACTTCCTGGAAACTTCAACAATTATCTTTAGAAGGAACATACCAATTTTATGTAGCCAGTCAACTCCTGTTCGAACTTGGCTACAGCGATTGTCTTCTCAATTAGTGGTTCAAAAGTGCCACAGAACACGTCATCTCCCTCTGTCAGCACTACCGATGTTCCCAAAACAGTGTCCTCTCCAGTCACCAATTGTTTTGAGCCAATTATAACACTGAAAAACATAATACAATACTGTGCGAAAATTGACTAAAAACACTACAGCCACAGTGTCTTCCTGAGACTGAGTGCGCGCATGGCAAATGCTGGAATGCTTGACTATAGGCTAACTCCACTTTGGAATCATTTGTACCGTAATTCAAAGAGGGCGAGATATTAATTGTGATGTTGCACATCGCACCGAAGCATCTAATTTCGTAGCGACTGCTTCAAGTATTTTGAACGCCTGCAGAGTCCACATGGATTTGTCATCTTGCGGGAGAACGGAAGGGTTGTGAAAGATAGAAGAGTCAGAATAGTTACTCATCAGACACTAGAGTTATACAGACAGTTGTCAGTGAATTTGGTTATAAGAAACGACTTCAGTCATTTTTCCAAATTTAGTGATGAACTGGAATTATTTGGTGCATGCCATAATTTTCATGCGCCACTAATTTGATTTTACATTAGCGCAGGAGGCGAGGTCAAGAATAACTATGTAGGTTTCTCCTTCAGGTTTACTCTTCCTAGCATATGCTTGTGTTTCATTCCATGCACGTAAGCGTGACTTTGATCAAAGACGACTTACCGTACAGCCTCCCCTCTTTTTTTGGAAACAGGTAATATGCGGAGCGAATACATACCTATTATTTTCGTCACAGTTTATAATTACCATAATTACAGCGACTATATGCTTACAACCGCAAACATTTATGAGTGAGCGACTTGTGCTTTTGCTGCCGATCTCATGATCGCCTCCTCACAAGTGTCGAGAGGCCTCATCATGTGTGTAATATAGAGTGTTCTAGAGATTTGAAAACTAGACATGGAGAAGTGGTCTAGAAGTGGCGAACAATTATCGGTGGCTTTGAGCAGGTGCGGGAGCACGATTTTGACGTGTAGCTTCATGTCATTGCATCAGCGTACAGAAGGGGACGATTCCGCCTAAATTCGGGAACTTGCATTTGTTTATGGCTTCATCGTTTTCCGTCTGTCACCGAGTTGATCTAATACAGCGACTGTAATTGATCATTTGGCACTATTGAGCTATTACAACTCCAGAGGGGGTGAGATGGATCAAAAAAATTTTTTCGCTGAAAGTTGCGCTAGGAGGGTTATCGAGGCTCCTGATCACGAATATGACCTTACCCAACGGCCCTTTTTAGGGCCACATTTGAAGTCATTGGGCTGGTTGAAGCAGGAGAACAAGAATGATGAATAAATTTTTCACTATGTATGGACTTTTCTTCAACTTTTCACTAATTTTCGCTCCAGCGCCAAAAACTAAGGTCATATTCGTGATCAGGAGCCTCAACAACCCCTATCCACAAGTTTACAGCGAATTTGGTGAGAATACCCTTGGCGCCAATTGGCGCCAAATGGCGCCGAGCGCCAAAAACTAAGGTCATATTCGTGATCAGGACGCTCGATAACCCCTCTAGCGCAAGTTTCAGCGAAAAAAATTTTTTGATCCATCTCACCCTCTCTGGGGCTGTAATAGCTCAATAGTGCCGATCATTTTCAAGGCGCCAGACTTGGAGTTTGTTGTGAGGACTGAGCTGTTCCATACACATGGAACCATAGATTCCTTCTCCTCACACTACCCACTACTCTCCTATGTTAAAAACTGCAATAAGAGTGGACAACGGAAGAGATGCGTCCAGGAGAACACGGGTCGTAGTTCTTATGTACTTTACTCAAGACGCTAAATCTAAGTGTAGATCTATACGACGGGAAGGGGATTACGCGGCGGCGCTGGGTCTCAAGCGTGATGGCCCCATTGGCCTGAGCTTAGGATTGCCAAAAGTTGGAATCTGTAAAATCAACTGTGATCACAATCACACTTGTTTCTGAATGTGAAACAAATCACACTGTCGACTGCCGACCCACTCCTTCGTTGGTTGAGGCATAGTCGCGACGCCTGAGAGACCCGCGTTCCACGTGGTCCCCAACTCTGTATGCATCTCAATCAAACCTATATAACCTATATAGTCCGCGGGAACAACACTATGAGATATGAAAACTTGAGAACGATCCCTCAAGTGCGATACGCGGACCAGCATACGTGCTTGTGGTAGTCCACGGACAGCCACGCTAGTTTTCATGTTCCAGATGCATGTTTCCGTAAACAATATGTGGGAAGCAGTTTACAAATGTTTACATAGTTTACAAAAGTCAATATGCAGAGGAGCAGGGAAGTGATATGATGTGGAAGTGAGTTGATATGGAAGAAGGTGGCAAACTGGAGCCACCTTCTTCCATATCAACTGTAGATTAGACGTATTCTGAATCGCCTTCCCATGACGAAGATCTTAGGGCCCATCAAGAATTTCGCCTCAATCCTCACTTTTACACTAACAGTTCTAAGCTCCTTGGTACTTAAAAGGGTGAGAAAGACTGAACAATTCCAGATAAATTCTATGCAGGTAAAGAGGTCGTATATGCCGTACTGGGATGGGAAAGATCGTATGTAAGTGTTCGGGAGTGGGAAAATAGAATAGTGGCATTAAAGGAATCTTGCGCGGAAAATTCTTGCACTCTTTCCTAACGTGAATATGTCAGTTGTGATCACTGGAAATAGCACACAAAAATTCACGCATGAAGATTCGGTTTCTGAAGAGGAACAAACGTATAAAAACTACACGTTATGGACCATCGAAGGAGCAGGAAGCAGAGCCAGGCGAGTCATGGAAAGAAACGGCTTTTGCCCGCTACGTAACCAGGCGACGCAATGAGAAGAATCGTTAAAGCGGGCGACGATTTCGGAGAGTGGAGACAAATCGATGTCGTGGACAGGATTGAGTTAGGAAGTGTAAAGGTGTGAATGCAACGAAGCAGAAGGCCAGAAAGAGCTTCTAGTGAATGCACTCCAAGAACAAAGTTTGAGCATCCCCGTCGCCAGTATTCGTGAAAAACGTGCGTGGGCAATTCGAACGCGTAGCAGCCTTTTCGAGTTTTCGAATTTCTAATCAAAACGAAAGCAATACTTCAGTTCGTTTCACTATTATCGTGGATAATGAGTCTCAAGCCAGTGATTTATAGCTGAAATAATAGAATCATGATTTTTCCTCGCAAGATTCCTTTAAGTAACCAGCCCCCCCCCCCGCTTTCCGCCAATGTTGTGCTGTACACGCAGCACCAGGGTCACCAGTATCAAGGACACTATTGGGATCATCAGATTGCAGTTAAAGTTATCGTAGTTGAGGCAATTCCCCTGATACGTCTCCACTATGACATAGAGCCGAAGGGATGAAGCTAAGGATGGGGCACATTTCAGGCCTAACCTAACCGATTCCACGCCAGTGACCAGCCTAGTTCCGAAGTAAGAGGGTGGTAGGAGCCTGACGACCACCCCACCGTCGTTCCATCGCTTCTTTATATTTTGGTACTTTAACACGTTGCATTGAGCAGCCTTTTTTGATTACCCAAGGCGATTGAGGCTATTTATAGCAGCAGCGATTGTTGCTCAATAAATTGGTTCTGATGCAACGAGCTTTAGCTGGAGATGTACAAATAGCTACACGCAGGAAGACAAACAATCAAACAAATGCTCTAAGCATATGTTCTCATCTAGAACCGCTTAGATGAGAACGCTCTAATACTGTGGGCAAGTTTCGTGAGGATCTTGAAACTTGCCAAAATAGCGGTTTTTCGCGTCGTATTCCATGATCGGGATGAGAAGCGAAATATCAGAGCTCCAGATACCAAAGAAGCCTGCAAAATGGAGTCTCCAAGTGCCCAGACCGGTGAAGCTCCAGTTTGGGGGTGGGGGTTACTCCATTGGGTTCCTAATAACTAGACTAAGGATAAAAGTTCTCTTGACACGTAATCGATTCAATTGCAATGTATTCTGGTAACGAGCAGTATAATGTGGAAGGACTCTCCAGGTGCTTTCAGATTTCGGCATGCTGCTGTCAAAAGAAATGGTCCTGAACTAGGTTATCTACATCCTTTGCCAGGCGCAAGGGTGTAGGAACCCAAGCGGAAGACCGCATACCAGAAATTGCCTAAGATGTGAATAGAATGTGCGTGATATGGCATGCACCAGTAGTTCCACGGATAAGATTACAGGGAGTGCTCCTCCCGCCAGAAATGGAGTTTCACCCCAGACCTACTATATATCAATTTCGAATTTATAAAACATATTTCAAGAACTGCTTACGAACGTTGTATCATTCTCCTCGCTGGACAAGATGGTTGAAAGTCGCTCGATCCACCACTTCTATAAAGTTGTCCAGTAATGTAGCGAATCTCGAAAACCAAATGCTGTCTGCTTAATGTCTCAAGTCGTATCTACTATCTATCTACAACTATGCAATTAACAATTGAGATTTCGCTAGTTTGTGGCGCGTTGGAAGCATTTAATACAGAAGAAGCTCCCACAAGTACTGAATCGAATCCTCTCTTTTCTGAATACGATAAGATGTGGTAACAACCACATTCGCCCGAAAGCATGTTACATGTAACAACATCTACTGTCTCAGCAGCATCACGATGTAGTCGTGAAGTCTACATTCTTCATTGAAAGGAATCGGTCTCGCAGAACATCTCCCTCGAACCGCAGATCAGCGTTCCCATTTTCACGTTCAAAACCGTCGTCTTCATCGCGTTCGTGATCTCCCGGAACAAATAATATCTATGGAGATGACTGTGAGATAACTCCCACATATAGATCTTTGCCGAATTTAACAGGGGGATATTCATGGTGCCAAGATAGCGACAAGGTGGCGCCAATGGAGCGAGCGCTCCAGAAAATCGCCATATTCGTGATCAGCGCATTGTATTTGCTATCTCGAAAAGTTCATGCAAGAAGAAAAACTTGCTGGTTTTCGGTGGTCCCACGAAACAGACACTTCAAAATCTGTTTGGTCGCAAGGGTGTTAAAAGACTGGTCAACGTCAAGGAAATTTTCAAACGTTTCTTAGTTTTTTTTTTGGGGATGAAGCCTATATCACACCATCGCACTAGACGCAGTAAATACGCTCCCACCTGAATTTTATTATCGTAAGTTCGCCTTTTAAAAACGAACATGGCCAGAACTTTCTTCTTCAGCGCAAAATAAGAATTCCTCGGTTAATGGATGCGGTACGCATTAAACATCGTTTTATTTGCAGTATTTACAATATTGGAAAATGGGGGAAAACCAATCAGAATACTAACTAAACTCACGTGCTGAACAGGGCCAAGGTTTTCCTCGCTGCATGGAGTGCTGCCCGTTAAAGATTGATCAATGGGTCTTGTGTGCGCTGAAGCCGAGGAGAACACTTGGTGCTTATTCACGAGAGCCTGAAGGATCACAACTCGAAACTCGCTGAAACACATGGGAAAACTTGAAAAAAATGGGAACTAAAAATTATTTTTCTCAAAAATAGTTGCTCTGTCGTGAAGGTCCATTCACGTGAAAGTTTTCCCGTTGGTCCGTTTTTTTTTTGTGCAAGCGTGCTTTTTTGTCCACACACCCTTTAGAAATGATAACTTTATTCAAACTAGACATTTTGCAACCTCGGTAATTAGTTGGAGAGCGCGGTTTTGAGCACTCCGAATGAAAAGTTTTGAATTGCCTCGAAAATAATTTGTCGAAAAATAGCCTTAATTTGTTTTACTTGAATAGTTCACATGAACAAACTTGAAGAGAGTACATTTTTCTTTTACTTCACATGCTGTTTCCGAGGGCTTAACAGAAGAGGAGCTGGATACAGCAGATCAACGGAGTCTTTAGGAGGAGTAATCTTTTCCTCCAGAAGAACGAGCAGAAGACGTAGAACACTTCAGGGAGTCATTTTGGATGATGTTGCTTCTTCTTTCATTTTGCGAGAAAATTAGGCGATGGAAGAAGTTCTAAGAGTTTAACCTTTACCCGTGAGAATTTGATCCCAGCTCTATTTGCTCTGTCTCTCGAGACAAACTCGAAAATGATCTACGTCTTCTGTTCGTTCTTTTAGGGGAGAGATTACTTCGCTTTCTGAAGAAACTTCTGGCGAATTTGCGTATTACAGGTTAGGAAGGGAGAATGTAAGAGACCGCCCACAGGAATTAGTGGGTGTAGCGTCTGTTCCATCTGAGCCGGCCGTCCCCTATCCTGTCTCCAATCCGGGGAATAGCATCAAATACCATCACCGATTTGAAACAAGTTGGCTTGCGTAAGAGATCGGAGAAGCCCCCAAAACATGCGAGGTAACAATACTCGGGAAACGTGTAGGGTTCACCTTCTCAGAGAATTGTCCGTGAGTAAATGGATGAGTTCTTGCGTATAAACTATATATGTTTTGGTGATTGCTGGTATATTATCTTTCGCTTCTATACTTACTATACGGTTATGGGGTTGTTGGTCGATGTCAGCAAGTATGTAGGTGTAACGGTAGCCACGTAGGCCGACGCCATAGGTTTGCGCCAATCGGAGCGATTCGCTAGCGAATGCGCTCGATTTGCAAACTATTAGGTTGTCTCATAAACAGTGTCGCTTTTTTTCAACCAAAAAATTCCCATCTAAAGCCCCATGCGTTTACAGCGAGTCGCATACCATTCGAAAGAGAATTATCTGCTCTACGAGATGCAATGTTCTTCTTCTACCTCTGTGTCAAGGTTATCACGTTTCAGGCCTGCGAAGTGGGAGGTCCAGCCGACAAAAATTGACTAAACCGACAACTATCTCTTACTTTATCTTCCCTTGAGAGAAATCATTCAATACTGTACCCTCTACCTATGCATAACCTCTCCTAAATATAACATTATTAGATTTCCCTACAAGTCGCGTCATTCCATTTTCAGACCTGGTTTTTCAACCAGAACTCGACGGTCAAGCACCGTTACCTGAGATCGAGGTCGAAATTTTTTTACAGGTGAGACATTGAAAAACTAGTATAATTTAAAGAACAGGTCATGAATAAGTTAGGAATGTACGCCTGGTTGATTTTCTCATCTCCCCAAGGATAATTTTTCTCAAAGAAATGCTGTCACTTTCGTGGATAAAGCACCTTACTCCTAAACACCTAAAATTCGAGCTAATTCCTAGCAAGCATCGAAACAAAACAAATGAGCGAATAGAGCAGAAGAAGTGCTCACAAAAGACACACCAGCTGGTGTAAAACAATTTCGTTTTAGAGGAAGAATTTCAATTTGAATTTGAATTTTTTTGGCTTATCGGTCGGCCATTTCGAAAAGAAACAGGGCAAGCCACTTTCGGCAATCCAAGGGTGGAATGTTTAGAAGAGGCCATGAGTAAGTAGAGGGTACATCATTGATTGATTTCTCCGCAGGGAAAATAAAGTTAGAGCTAGTTGTCGGTTTGGTGAATTTTTGTCGGCGGGACCTCCCATTTCGCAGGCCTCAAATTTGAAAACCTTGGAGCATAGATGGGAGAAGAACACGAGGTCTTGTAGAGCAGACAATTCTCTTCAGAATGGTATATGACTCGATGTAAAAGCATGGTAATTAAGAAGAAAAATTTTTGGTTGAAAAAAAGCGACACTATTTATGAGACAACCTAATATGACGTCGGCCTTAGCTCGCGTAGGGGTCCGTGTGCGGTGCACGGCGTTATAATTCCCAAGATTCCTGGATGGATATGTTTACCTCGCCTACGAGTATGGGCGGCTCAGGTGTCTTGATCTCGAATTATTTTTGTTGCCCGCGACACAACTTGCGTTATGAAATTAATTGCTAAACACCACCTGTATGTTTGTTTTCAAAAATCGAAAATTTAATAGTTAAAAGCTTCTCTCTGCCCCATCCTTATGTTTCCAGTCCTCATTATCTGCACGCCCCAACGGAAGCGTTATTATCAAGATTTCCGATGGATATCAGGGTTAAGAGAATATGATGAGAATAGCTTGTTGACAGAAAACATCTTCATGATAAACTAGCTCCTCTTCAAAACTTCAATGAATGTTTGGCTCATCTGTTTGCCCGACATCGTCGTCCGAGGAATAGCTCTACGGGCTTCCTAGTAGAGCCAGAGGAAAGCTAGAAGCTGTTTTTCTAATGTAAGTTTGAGTCGTTCCGCTGAATTTATCTTAGTGCAGTTGAATAAGCAAAGATTTAGCGCGCCATTTTTCTGAAAAAAAAAACGTACTTTCCTATTGAGAATCCAAATTTTCGGGGAAGACTTCACATTGTTTCACAAAAACAACCAAAAACTTTACATTGTGTTCCGTTGCTTTTGCACATACCGTACGAATTTAAGGCGCAAGTGATTGCGCTGAGTCAAAAATGAGGCTCTCCATCTTTGAACTCTGTACGTCTCTTTGCGAATGAGCCCTTTACCCTTCCGTCGCCTGTTTACCTGGTGAATTTCTGTGAATCAGTCGTTTCTGTTGTCATTTTCTAGAATGTTGATTGCAGGTGCGGATTTTTTATGCAAGTCAAGACCAACTAATTCGCTTGTGCGTTCCTACCTCTGTGTAGTTATTGGCTACATATTCGAGAACGACAATGGACGCGGCAACATTCGACGAAGTTGTGGAGACGCGTTTGATAAGCGCGTGTGCAGACAAGGCTCCAGATGCCAAGTACGTGATATTGGTGCAGACCTGAAGTAGGAAATGTAAGAAGTTTTCGCACAGTGCATAAAATTGCTGTAAAAATACCTTTGTCCAGTGAATATCAATAATCAACGAACGCATTTTATCAATTTCGAACCAAGGGAAAACTCCAGCAAGTGTTACTGAAATGAAAAACATTAGGCGTGAATCGGACTGACTGAGGCTCTCCCTGTGCTAGCTGCCATTAGCGATAGCGATAAGTACACCTAAAATCGTTGAAGAAAGGATTATCCTGTTCTCTTGCTCCTATTTTTATGATTTCCAGTTATTTGTAACAGCTTTTACATTTTTCAATCACGTAAGGTTGCTTTTGTGAAGTCTTTTCGATTGTTATCTGAAGGCAAGCCCCGGATAGGCCGACTGGTGGGAAGGATACCGCGAGGGAAATGGTGGGGCCGGTTCCTTCATAGAGCGTGCCAGCCTCGTTGCCCAAATTGCGCGGCTAGAGTGCCAATCTATTACGAACCTGCAACCATCGACCCCAATTCCAACGCCTTCCACCCACCGCGAGAGATGGTAAGATCAGCGTGCTCTCTCGAACGGCGTGCTCTCTCGCGTGATTTGTCTTCTCTGATCGCCCTGTCTTGCGATCGTACCACATCCGACGTTACTGCGAGGGAACGTCTTAATTTTAGCGTTTCCGATAATTTCTTTTGCTCTCGTTCCCACATTCAGTTCCTCCCGACATACTACGAAAGCCCCTATGTATCAGCTCTATGCCGGGGCTTGTTCGAAAGCCCAGGATTTCGTACACATTTATATGAAAAACAATTTCGAAATAACATCTCGCCGGTCGATTTTGTATGGTCGGCTAGCTCTTTGCACGTGTCGAAATTACGCAGCACTTTTTTTGAGGCACTCGTATTAGAAGCATGCCTTATGTATCAAAATGTGCGGAAGAATGCGGTCGAATCAAATTATCGTTAGGAACCAACAGAATTAGAGCCATCAGGTGGACATAAAGGCATGAAATTTCGGATCAATCTAAAAATTTCATTCTAGTGTGGGAATAGGTCCTACCTTACGTTAGTGAACCATATTTCGCGCTAAAATGATACTCGTGTACAGGGCCGGCCAATAAGGCGACAAGCCGATGCTGAGTTAGACACAATACGGAGCAACAAGAAGCGAAAAACGTAGTCACTGATTAGGTAAGAGAGCGAGTATTCAATGTTAGTCTACAAAAATGGAGGAGAGAAACAAAATGAAACTTTGGAATATACAAAGGAATACAAAAAATGAACGGTGTCAAGAAACCGAAAGAAAACGAAAGGAAGAGGAAAGGTGAAAAATGAGTGCAGTTATTAGAGAGCCAAGGTCTTTTGTGACTATTATGTAAAAAAAAGTCCTTTCATGGACTAAACACGGAGCTTACAACTGCAACCGAATCATAAAACCCAGTACCCATTTCTCCTTTGCTTCCAACTATTACCGCAGCATCTTCCACACTATAGCAATCATCGCTCTCATCACACGGCTGGCATTCATGCAGTCCGGCAAATTTTCGGGACACCTGAAAATGACAGGATACACTACGTTTTCACCTAACTTCTTGATCACCCTGGCTGCTTTTCCAAATTTCAATTTTCTCTTATTCCTCTGACATATTTATTCAACGTAGTTCAACCACCGTGCTGAAAAGTGCGTTCTTACTAAGCACATGAAAATTTTTTGTGGGCTTTACTGTAAGTTTACGAACAGGAATTTAGCGTTCTGCAGAGGGGTCATTATCGTAATGTCACGCAAAGACAGGAGTTTGACATCATATCACTAACTAGTCCAAACTATTCGGCTCACTAGTGTGTCAAATTGTGTAGGAAAAATGAGGTTGAAGGAGAACTGCCAACAGCCGCACCACGTCCGGACTGCTAATGACATCGTAATACCGAGCCTCTTTGATAACGAATTACCTGAGGTACGCCATACAAACTACTGCACGTTAGGAGACCGATGTTTGAAGTTTGCACATGCACGCAAAAGCAGAAGGGAACCTAGAGTTCCGTGTCATGGCCGTTGAACCAGAGCTCAGTGAGTGAATTTCTCGAGACTGATGGAAAACAGGGTCGGCTTCATTCACGAAAGTCCATACAGCTTTATGGGAGAGAAATGATGAGCTTCGTATATCACGAGCCAAGAAAACTTTGGTACGCGACAGAGGCAAATGGCGGCATTGTTAGCGCCCAGTCGAAGTGGATAAGACGATAAAGGTACTTTCCAGATGTTCTCAAATGTGTTCAGATGTTCAAGAAGTGTCAAGATGCTTATTCTAGGACCTTGTCAGCTCAAAAACTTTTTCAAAGACTCTCTCTCCTCTCCTACAGAGTGGGCAAAAATTACGGTAACTATATTAATTGGTCATAAAAAAGCAATGTGACCGAGAAGTCAAGTTATCGAACAGGAAACAATATTGGTCTTTGGACTAGTCGCTTTCGCGTTGATAAAAAACGAAGACTTCGTAGGAAGTCATCGACCCTGTTGTGTAGCTAGGTATTGTGGAGTAGGTCCAAGGATTTCAAGAGCTACTGCTCAACTGGTTGATGTTCCTTTTATACTCGTAGCGATGACTTGCCTTCGGCACGCTCAAAACATAGCATTGCATAGGACTTGAGTTGGAAGAGCTATGTTGCCTGTTTTCTTATATGATGAATTCAACGATATACTGTCGGTTCTGGACAATTTGTGCAGTGTGGGTGGACACCAAATCCTGCTCTGATGCCTTATGATTCCTGTTGAGGGTCCTTTTGCTTTAAAGCACCAGCCGAGGCGGAACGAGCTTAAGACGCTTTTTACTAACCAGCTGTATACATATTCTAAGCAGCAGAGTCCAGAGGTGTCTTTCGATTGCAATTTCAGCTCTCAAGACTTCTACGGAAATCATAACTGAATGACTGGTTGGTTTCCCACTAACATTGGTGCGGTTGCACTTCTTATTCAAGACTAGCCCGACAGAAGAAGGTCTTCTCGGCAAAGGAAACTAGCGATACATGAAGCCCATTAAGGAATTGAGACAATGTTTTCAGCTTTACTTTCTATTCAATTTCCTAGCGTCGGTTGGAGTTAGGCACTTGCAACCCTATAGATAAGATGTGTGCAAGCAATACTTCGCGAGAAAGTGCGCACGACACCAGTTTAGCGACCAAACGGCAGATTATGTTTGATTATTGGTTTCCAGCGCTCCTCTCCCGAGATATTACTCGTGGAGTCGCACAAGCAATTTTCACGTCCAAGCATTTGAGGCTGATAACTAGCCAATTTAGCTTTGTAATTGCGGTCGACGGAAGTTTCAAAGAGCCTCTGAACCATCTTGTAATGTGATACAATCAAACACCTCGTCGAACAAGTAAGGTTGTTTCTCGAGGATTCAAAGGGCTTCATACAACGAAATCAAAGATGAAACACAGAATTGTTAAAATGATCACACAGGACACAAACAAAACTTCTAACGTTCAAAATTAAGAATTAGCAGCGTCATCCTCCTGTTACCGTAATTTTTGCCCGCCCTGTACAATTCAAATCATCGCCGGCATCAGTGGGAAGAAATTTCGAAATTCTCTATGTAGTGATTTCATGTGAATTTGGGCGTGACCATTGATGTCTTTTCCGAACCCTTCGGTCACCGCTCCACTAAATAAAGCTGCAAAAGTTAGAACACCTGAGATGAATCTGCCAGAATTGATGCATTGATATCTTCGCTGTAGATCTTGTTTCTTTGTGGTCATCATAAAGTAAGCTTCAAATGATCTTCAGCAGTACAAAGCTTGAAAATGAGTTGATGTTGTCTGTCGTACAGGGTGTTTTGATAAAAGTTCTGCTCGTTTAAAAAAGTTTGCATCTTCTCAAGGAACCGAAAGAGCTCATGACGCTAGTGGAACTGCAGAGGCAGGTTTCAAGACCGAACATGAAATCCACTAGCCCGGTAAATTTTTTAAGAGCACTTAATGGAGCACGTTTTTTAAAACTTGCATTACGCTCGCATATGCCAACTATTTCTATAATATGACTACTACTAAAATTTTATAACAGTGAACTTGACTTTTTTACTTTTTTGATATTCACCTGCACTGTGGCGCGTATTGCTGAGGAGTTGAACAACTGGCGTAGCTCTCCTGTGAGAAGTATTCTATCGTCCATATCCACAAGAACCAGCCTGAAATCTAGCGAGGTACAACATGCTTTATACACCCCTGCTGATTTCTTCTTTCCAATTTCACGAAGTTATCGACCAGTCCTATCAGCTAACTCTTCTTGATCGAGATGAGAGGGCTGAAGTAATTCATGACTATCTAACCAAACGTCTCAACAGCTATACCAAAGTTCGAGATCCGCACCATTTCCCGGTACCCGAGGCGACCATGACCAGCTGCAGGAGTAACAATCAGGCCATTGCGACTCTAAAGCAGCTTCAGTTTTCGCGTCATTGGCACAGTTCAGGAGCAAGTGAGGAACTCATTGATCTCGATCTTTATTGGTGTTGCTGAGACGTTTGGTCGGATAATCATGAATTGCTTTGACCTCTGCAAGCTCTTGAGAACCGATTCTGCCAGAAAGTTAGCTGATGAAAATTGTTTAAAAACTAATGAATAGTTGGAAGAAGAAAAACAACGGTACTATGCCGTATTTACGCAACAGTCGCGTGGACTTCGCCTCCCTAGATCCCCGTCGCCCAGAGAAACATTATGGACGTCTAATAACAGAAATTCACTTCGCAGCAAGCCGAGTTGAATAACAGCAGTGGATCGTTGTATTGGTTGGCAGAAGCCCTGGGATCAGTAGGAAGAATAGCGCGAAGGAGATTGTGGGGCCCATACTGACATAGATCGTTCCAGCTTCATCATTCAAATTAGGGCGCTAGACCTTACGGGCTCCATCGCTCTCCGTTGCAACCGCCCACCGCGACTGATGTGGAGATCGGCATATTCTCTCGAGCTACGCTCTCTTGTATTTTTCGTCCTTTGTCGCCGTCGTTCAAACAATCAATCAAATCAATGTTAACATCAATCCTCTGCCGTTCCCTCTGGAGCACCTCCTTCGAACATTTCAAACTGCGCTGGGGAAAAGAAGACACTCTCTGCTGCAAATAGCTCCAAATAGAAAGTCAAGTGGATTGAGGTCTGGCGAGTCAGATGGCTACATATCTTTGTCTCGGAATTCAGGAGAATGGCGTTGGCAAAAAGAAATCGTGGATTCCGACCCATGAGCTGTAGCCCAGTTTGCTGCAAAATGAAATTTCGTCATCCAAAGTATTAATGGGCCTACAGCATCAGTGTGTCCTTTAAAATAACATTCTGATAAGTTTCGACTGAGTGAGAAAGAGGTATGTGTTGCTTTTGATGTTTTTATCCTACTTACTATAAAGCGCTTCGTCTGTCGTTCTGTCTGTCGTTCTGTATTTCTGCCACGAAATTCCCTAGCTCCTCGCGATCGCCTGGAGGGACAGGGTCAAGTGTGGGACGGGTGGGCAGGGTCCGACGAAGTACAAAACACACATCAGCTAAGCGGAGCCCCGCCCACAGTGGGCGTGGCGTGCGTCGAAATGAGGGATACGGAGGACCACGATTTCAGTTTCAGTGGAAGAACGGCCTCGATACTGGGCCAAAAAGTGGGTGAAGGTGTACATTGGTAAGTCACATCAAATGAGGAGACCCACCCCCAGTAGTGGGCGGAGCGTTCTCCAAAAAAGCGGTGCTTTGTGAAAAATTTCAAAACTCGGTTGGGAGGAAAACTACAGAGCAGACAACAAAATGATGCAGGAGAGCAATGTCTAAGGTGTGCCCAGCATACACGAAGTTCTGAGTGAACAGCATTTTCTAAGAGTCCTCATAATTCGGGCCGGAGACGTCTTAGTGAGCCGGAAAAAGGTGGATAGAATTGGGTGGAGGAGTAGAGGCTAACAGCCATCAATGGGCGAAGTTTGCGACGAAAATTTATAACTCGGTTCCAGGAAGTCCAGGAGACTGGGAAAAAGGTGGATAGAATTGGGTGGGGAAGTGGAGGTTAACGGCCAATGGTAGGCGGGGCTGTGCCAAAGTGGGCGGAGTTTGCGACGAAAATTCATAACTTGGCTCCAACAAGTCACGGAGGCCGCGGAAAAGGTGGATGGGGGTTTGTGGAGGAGTGGACGCCAACTGCCAATGGTGGGCGGGACATGGCCAAAGTGGCGGAGTTTGCGACGAAAATTCATAACTCGGCTCCAAGTAGTCCAGAAGGCTGGGAAAAAGGGAGTAGAGGTCGGCGAAGGAAAGGAGGTCAAATGCTATTCGTGGGTAGAGCACGCACCTAAGTGGGCGGAGTTTGCCACGAGATTTATTGTCCGGAAGCAGTCCGGAGACCGAGAAAAAGAGGATAATGGTTGACGAAAAAAGAGCGGATAGAATTTAGCGGAGAATTCAGATATTCGTATATATCAAGCCAAACTTGAAAATTTTCGTCGCACCATCAAAATTCGCCGCAGATCTGTGTTGCGCGCGCAATGCGTGCGGCGCCAATTGGTAAACAATAACGAGAGATGTCTCGCCTTCTGATGTTAGCCCACCCCAACCATCACCGACTTCGGGAACGTGCTCTTGAATTTAATCCGTCGTTTCCTGGAGTTCTTCTCTGAGTGGCAATGCACTTGCTGCTGGTTTCGGCTATAATGCGCGACCTGCAGGTTTTCTATTCAGTTCAGAAGATGTCCGAAAAGCGGTCATAAACTGCTGACAGAGTCTTCTTACATTCCTCCAGTACATTCTTCCGGGCAGCTTGGCTGAGCATCTGTCCTCGAAAGACGCGGTAACTGTGATCATCTCCTCGCCAACATTGCACATCTCGTACGAAAGATGTTCCGCCACGGAAATCGGATAAAGGCTGCACATCGACGACAGAACGGTGAGAAGAATTGAGGTTCAATACAGGGAGCGAGGACACTATCTTTTCTCGCTTGGCATCTTTGCGTACTTCGGGAAATCCGTTAGCCAGGGGGACTGTAGGCGGTCTAGGGGGTGGGAGGGTGAGGGCAGTCACCTGACATGCGTGAAGGGCTGGAATGTTCGAGTTCACACTATCTCGCTCGAGAGAGCGCCAGGCGAGCTAAGCGCCGCGCCGCCGCGTGGTCCCCCAACTAAGTTAGCTCGAAAATTAGTCCTGTATTGTGCCAGCCCGTTTCACGTAATAACGGATAAATAGAGCTTTGTTTCGTGCCTTGCTGATAATTTACATTTCGCAACATTAGACCTGTTTTACGATATATTTCTTGACAGGCTGGTATAAAGGCAATCGAGAGTTTTGTAGTACCTTCCTTCCAACGGATGAATCAAGTAAGCAGTTGATGCAGGTCGCGGAAATTGTGGACGCAGGGGACCACACGAGTTATCCGCTACGAGAGACTGAAATTTCCAAATATGAACTCTAATCCTATCTTTATCCTTTCATTTCGATAATTTAAAACTACCAAGTTTCTTACCTTCAAGACTATCGTGTCCGGCCCGAAAATGCTAAGGGTAGGATAAAACATCCCGATGTTCTCGTGAACAGTC